CCACAGTGTAACTAACCAGCCTGATGAACCGGGTCAGCCGCCCATAGCTCTCACAAGAGGCATCTCAGGACTTATGTGACTTACTCACCAGCTTGGATGGCCAGGAAGTTGTAGAGTTCATGCAGCAGCTCCAGCAAGGCTGCCTTCTGCTTGGCCTGACAGAACTGGAAAGGCACGGGACAAGTGGTCAGCAAGGAGGGGTGGGTGGGAGAGGTCTGTCTGTCCATCTTTACCTCTCCAGCCACACTGTCAAATACTAAGCAGCAAGGAACATCTCATACTTTTACAAAATAGAAACAAATTCTGCCAAGTGCTGGGCCCAGGGAGAGATTTGATAAGTATTGGGCTAACTGCCTGAGAAAGACCCTGGAGAAGCAGAGGCAGAGCTGAAAGCAGACACTGTAACCAAGGGGCTGCACTGGAGGCTCCTGGCTCCTGCCTTTCCCTTGGAATGACAGCCAGTAAGAGGGCTGAGCAGAGGCGACGTGGTCGGGGGATGATGCAGTCACTCAGCTTCCTCAGACGGAAGAGCAACTGCTGTCGGAGCTTGCAGAGCTGGGAGAGCTGGAAGAGCTGGGAGAGCTTGCAGACAGGGCAGAATGTCAGCAGCTGCCACCTCGTCTCCCTTTAGGTGGAATCTCAGGGCCCTCATCTGAGTAAGGATTGTGGTAGGATTCCATGCGAACTCACACAAACCACTCAGCAGAGGCTGCTACCACCTAAAGGAAACAGGAGGACAGACGGTACCAGACAACGAGACGGCCTGATTAAGACAACACACCCACTCCCAGCCTGTCCCCACGTTTTCGGCAGCACAAAGGCAGAAAGAAAAACACAAAGTGTCACTGTCTTCAACGGCCGAAAAGGGAAAGAACACGAATCTGAAATTCAAATGCCCGTCTGCGATCTCCGTGAGCCTGGAGCTATGCAAAGAATAAGACTTTCAGCAGGAGCCTCACCAAAGCCAAGAAACACGTCCCCACCTGCTTGTTCCTGTGTCCACCCTCCAGAAAGGCGAAGGGTGCCCCATGAAATCTCAGCTCCAAAAAGCCTACACTGAGATGGCCCAGCCCCTGCTTTCTGATGCTCTGATGAAGATCTGAATGGTTACAAATAGGAATATCTGCATCTGAAGCCCTCGCTGGCAGGTGCTGAATGCTGTCTGTCCACAGAGCACATCTGTAGCGAGGACCTGGAGGGTACCTGTCTGGGCTCACTCAAGCGGGGCCTGAGTGTGTCCAGATCAGAGAAGGCTAGGGAACAAATGTGCCATTCACTTGTGGGTCTGATTAATTTAGAGACGTGAAGGACCAAGAAATAGAAACCATGGAACCATTTTCTAATTAAAAGACAAACAAAACTCATAGCACTGAGAAGTCTTACAGAATGTTATTTTTTCCTGTTTTTGTTTTAAGTCTTCAAATTCCAGTTTCCTCTCTGGCTGCCTATGTTTCTGGGCCACTTCCTCTCATCATCAACTACAGTTTTTATGATAGAAGGCAGATTAAACTTACTATGAATCTGCTTTTACAAAACAATTGGGAAGCAAAGATATTTGGTGGATGAATGCAATAAATGTATGTAATAAACCACCCCAAACTATGACACACCAGAAGCCAAAGAGAAATAAAAGTGGTTATCTGCACCAGGATGTCCCCCCATTTACATGGGTAAGACAGTCAATGCAGGGGTGGCCAGAGGACCATGCGTCATTTTCTTTCCCGGCCCCTGGGCTACCAGAGATGTTAACTAAGGGCTCGGGAGGCCAGGCATTGCACACTTAATAATTAGACTACTAAGTCATGCCCTCTGGCAGCACAAGACTGGTACAATTTATGACCTGAAAATTTACTGCCCCATATCTTCTCCAGACTGTCACCAGAACCAGCATCCCAGCTCCTTGATAATGCTGCCTTCATGATTCATAAATGGATGGGGCTGCTCATCCCCAAATATTATTTGTAGGAAATATTAGAGCTTCATAAAGCAAATCTAAATGTGGACTAAGAGGGCTAATTCTACTTAAGATGTGTTCCAAACAAACTCCCTATGTTTCAAATCAGAACAGCATTTTCAGAGCCACAGCTGCATCACCAGAGAGAGAGAATGTGGAATTGAGAACTTGGCCTCCTGATGCTTAGAAACGCCAGCCCTTCCTCCCCGTGCCAGGGAGCTTGAGGAGTCCTTCAACAACAACCTACTGCATCCCCCTAGATTGACTCAGGCAGAAGAAAATGCTACATTTGATGGGAAAGCGTCCATAACAAGCCCAGGGTTGGATTTTGGGAGGTCAATTCTATTTCAAGTATTCCTTCACTGCCACAATTGAGCCTGACACAAACATCACAGAACACAATGTGACTCTGGTACATTACAGGAAGCACTCCTTGAAAATGATCCTATTCTTTTTCTGGGGAAGTTTACCTCCTGGTGGAGGCTAATATCCTCAGGAGGAATAATAAAAGCCAGAGAAACTGAAACTCACCTCATCTGTTTTTCTCTCACAGTCCACTGGCAATAACTTCACTGAGACCAAGAAAAGAAACACAGAGGAAATTAAGTGTGGGTTGAGAAAGGAATACAAAGAGACTATTCACAACATTCGGGGGGACTAAAGCATTACCAAGCCAAGGGTGGTGATTAGAAAGATGTCATCTAAGGAAGGCACTTTTAAAATGCAGACAGCAAAATGTAAGGGTATCCAAATCCTGGATTAGGAATTAAGATAGCTGGGTCCTTGTCCCAGCTGAAAATGATTAGCTCAAGGTTCTTGGGCAACTCAACCACTCTGAATCTCTGTTTTCTCATCTGTAAAATGGGATCAAATGGGCCTTCCCTGCTTAACTCAGGAAGTTAGGCCCAAACAAAACAAAATACAGGACAGTTTTGTAAACTGAAAACAATGATACGTTAAACAGAGATTAACACCATAATAGGAGGGGAAGTCCGGGTAGATACCAGCATATATTCTAGCACTGTTCTCTTAAAACATCTCAGCAGTGAGTACCAGTGTGATACTGTTTGACATCACCAGTGTAGTTATAGTACCATGACACTCCCAGGTCTGCTTAATTTCTCTAGCAGGTCGACAAACTATTCACATAGTTGATAAACTGCTCTCATAGTGGAGAAATCATTTGGGTGTCTGCACACAAGTCTGTTGATACCCTTGCCCACAGACTTGTACACTCCCAAACATCCATCTGCCACACCAGCTAAGACATACTTTAGCTTTTTCCTGTATGTTGGAAGTTCCTGCTAGGCATGGAAGGATGTGGCCTTGGCTGGAAGCTGGGAACAGTATTACTCACATTTGTGCTTTGTAAAGAGTATTAAAAGTTGGTGAACTACAGTGGCCCTTTATACCTAAATGTATAGTGAAATGATCTTTCTTTTCAGGAAACACACAATCCTCAGCTATTCCGGATACATACTGTACCCTGAAGACCTCTCATTGGCATATCTAACCATGTAACTTAAGTGTGGCCAGAAGGATGGCTGTGAGCATCCTTGAGTCACAGTCTCTCAACACACTCCATGAGGGTGCTACAAGCAATGGTAAATGCCTCCCATTGCTATCAGTTTAACCTGTCTGGCAAGCAAGGCTGGTAGATTCTCCTGTTGACAAAGCGGCGGCCCTGTGGTTCAAAGAAGTGGAGAGTGGACTTTTTGGTGCTGCAAAGCTGGGACCCCCAACCAGATCCTATCTGTGGGTCAGTGAAATCTGGAATGCCTTCAAACAGGCACAAAATGTGTGAGTAAGCCAGAGGTCAAACGGGAAGAACCCGAAGGGATGGGGTGAATCTGTTAGAGAAGGGTGTGGCTTCCTCTCCAGGGAGAAAACCAGAGGTTGGGGGAGCAGTGACTACAGCTTGTGATTCAAAGGGAGACGTTAGAAGGGAGGGCTGGGGCAGAAAAGGAGAACAGGAGAAAGTGAAGGCAGAAATTATTGCAGATGCAGGAGCCTTTGCCCTCTCTTCCTACAGCTGGAAGAAGGCAGGCCTGGAAATGAGAAGACAGTCAGAGGCTGCCGACAAGGCTGGAAGTGCACGGCCTGGCGCCGACAGGAACAGGTGGTCGTCCGGCAGACACACGCGCCCCCAGGGCCCTCCCCTGCGCCGGCCCAGGACGTACTGTTGTCCTCCGCCTCCTGCGGCGCTGAGGGCTTGCCCATCTTCACCCAGAGGATGCCCAGGAAGACGAGCAGTAGCCCCAGGCTGGCCCAGAGCAGGAGCCGAGACAGCCAGCGCTCCAGCCGGCGCCCCACCTCGGGTCGGGCCCGCGCCGCGCCAGCAGGGCCCGCTCGAGTCGCCCGCAGGCCCGGGCGCGGGTCGGGGCCGAGGAGGGCGGAAGGCAGCCGCGCCGGGGCGGGAGACGCTGCCCACCAGCGGCGGGCCGCGAGACCCGGGCCCTGCGTGGCCCTGTCGGGCGTCCGGGCGTCCTCGTCCTCCTCGGAGCTGCCCCGGACCGAGGCGCGGCGCCTTAGCTGCGCCGGGCGGGCAGGATAGGCGAGGCCGCGGCTCCCTACCCAGGAAGCCGCGGAGGGTCGGATATCGCCGTAGGCCCCAGGGGTCGCGTAGGCCGAGCCCGAGGCCGGCTGGGAGAGCCAGGGCTCCGCCCGCGGAGAGGCCGCGGCGGGCCGGGCGCGCAGCGGCGCATCCTCGCGTAGCCGGGCCTCTTCCCGTAACCGCTCCTCGCCCCGCGGCTGGGCCTCCTCCCGCGGCCGGGCCTCCTCCCGCAGCCGCTCCTCGTCGCGCAGCCGGGCCTCGCCCCGCAGGCGGCGCAGCTTGTTGCGGTAGACATCCCGGGTGGTGTCGGTGATGGGTCCTGGCTGGAAGCCCAGGGCCTGCAGCTCCCGCCGCAGTTCCAGGTCCGACAGGCCGGCCATGGCCAGGACGCCGCCCCCCGCCCGCCCCCGGCGCGCACCGCACCCGGAACTGCTCCCTCCCGCAGGCGCGGCGGAGCGGGCGGGGCCCCGCGCCATGATGGGAAGGTCGGTCGCCATGTTGGGAAGGTTTGCGCTCGGCCTATGGGTCGGCCATGATGAGGAGGTCTGACGTGGCTCTTAGAGCCGCCATGGTGGGAAGGTCCAAGGGGGATTAAATTTTTTGTTTTGTTTTTCCCTCTGTCTCCGCTCTCCCACTTCCCTTTGTTTGTTAGATCAAACAGTATTAATCTTTTGAGTCCTCCAACCCTAGCTTTGCCTCTGGCACGTGGTAAGCATTCAGTAAAGTCAGTGTTGATTTAATGGATGAATTGGTTAATTGTGAAGGAAGCCACTGCCCCGAATGGAGAGACAGGATCATTTGCCTATCTGGGCTTGGGGACTGATGTGTGATCCGGTTTTATTTGGGCCGTATAGTACACGCCAGGCATGCTCCAAGACCCTGTCCCGACTTCGGGCTTGTTAACTGGGCGACACTGAGCACCAAGTAGGTGTGATCCCAGCCTTAGGACAGACACTGTCCCCCAAGGAGCGCCAGCCTGGAGGGGACGCAGTTTCCATAGTGGAGGCAGAGGAGCAAAATGCCCTTGGGCTCGAGTGGGCAGTTGAGGCTTCTCTGCGGAGGGCCTGTGTCTGCGTAATGGGATTTTTACAAGGAGACATGGGTGGGAGAAGACTCCAGAGATACACGGTCCTGTAGCCTCACTGGTGGTTTAGGATGTGGGCTTTGGAGCCAGTCAGTTCAGTTTCAAATCCCTACTCACAACTGTTAGATGTGTGATCATATTCAATTAACATTTTTAGCTTGTTTGCCAGTAAACCTCAATAGAGTTGCTGTGAGGATTAGAAGAGGTAGTTTGGCTAAGGTGCTTGGGACAGTGCGGGGCACACGCTCATGCGTGTTTATACTTAACCCACATCTTTGCAGTGTCAGTGCTGTGTAGAGTCTCCCACAGGGCAGGTGATTTGGTTACATGAAGGCTCTTAGCAGGAAACTCCTAAGGGAAGCAAGGGAATGTGGCAACTGAAAATAGAGCCAGTTTATAATCTTCCTTCCACATCCCTCAACTCCCATTCCCAAACATTTATTGCTGGCCCAATAGGTTCCATCTATTTCTACCCCTGCTATTCCATTCTCCCCTTCCCCCAGGCCCCTTCTCTCTGGAATCCCCATATCTGTCCCAACAGACCCCTTACCCACTCCTCACTTTATTCCCTCCCCTCCCTGACACGCTGGGCAATGCTATGCTCCTCTGTCTGGGTTTTGCATTCCTGCCACTTGCTCCACCTTAGGGGTATTCAACCCTGGCCACAATTGCTGGGAAAATTACAGCCTCAGCTTGGTCAGCTTCCACTATTGGCCTCCCCATCTCCCCTGACTTAGCTGCTCCCATGTGGTGTGATTTCTCTCACCAAGTGTTGTTTTCCTTTTCTCTGTCTGTGTTTGCACGGAATGCCGTGAATTTGATATAGTGATTGCCTAACACATATACCACATAATAGTATTTTATTTCTTTCTGAAGCACTGTTTGCATGACAAATGAGTTGGTAACATTTGTGCAGCTCCTTGCAGCTGTGCAGTTCAATATATAAAGAATGAGCCTTTCGGCATCAGTACTGGCCCCACGTATTCTAAGAGGGCTTGAAACTAATGCTTAAACAAAGTTGTCGTTACAGCATTTCACAGAGTTATGGTCTATTTTATCACAATGGATCTCAGGGCGATTTAAAAATATGGACTGAACTGGAGCCACCCCCAGTGGTGGCACGCAGTGTGGGCTTTGTCAGCTTCCTTATGTTTGGGGACACTGCTGCCGTTCCACACATCTAGGGTCAAGTGGCCCACAGCCCCTCCCCTAGAACTCTGTTGTCTTCCCTCTGGTGTAGAACCCACTGTGCTTGGAGTTGTGGCCTTTGGCCACCCATGGTCAGCCCTTCTACCTCCATGGTGGGTTCTGGCTGTCGATGGCCTTGTCTTGCAGGATCCTACAGGCAGGGCTTTGGGTGTGCACCAAGGGACACCCAGTGACCACTTAACAGCGAATTTGCTGATCAATGCTCCCCTTCCCCACCTCCTCTGAGAAGGAACTTCACAAGTTAGTCAGGCGTTCCTTCCAGTTTTTGGGCCTTTCCTTTTCATCCTGGACTCCCAGCTCCAGTCACGTTCCTGCCCAGATTTATAGCCCTTCTTTGGTTTAGTGAAGGTGGCGTGTTCCTTTTTGCTTTCCTCCACACAACCATCCACACGCTCCCCTCCGCTTGGAAGGGCTCGACCTCAGCTCTTCTTTGCCACTGCTGCCCCTTTGGGAGCTGCCCACGAAGCCCACCAGGGCCTCTGGGAGCCAGCCTTTCTGTGCCTTCAGCCTGGCTCTCCTGCTGGGCCTGTCCACGGCAGGAAGGCATATTGTAAAGAAAAGGGCAATATTGCAAAGTCAGAGGCTGCTCTGCATGCCCTCCTTTCTCATCACTGCTGTGTTGTTTTTTTTAAGGTGAGCAGCAGCTCAGGCTGTGGTCTGTCTTCCTGATGTATTAAAGGCAGAAGAGGAAAAATAAGCTCCAATATCTAAATCTACTTAGTAACCACATCCACACATTTGGCAGACGTGAAGGGCTGCTCGGAGCACGCTCTGGATTCCCGGGGGGCTGCCACACTCCCTTCCGTCCCGCTGACCTCTCTCTGTCTTGGCAGAGCCTTATAATAGTCACAACCATAAATCTTTTAGTGGGTTCCATTCTCCTCCTCCTCCTGCAAAAAGCCCTGCACACAGTTATCAGGCACTCAAAGATACTCAGGGACCACGGACTCGTCCTTGATCCCCCTCATGGAGGGCCTCATGTGTCGCCTCAGCTATTCAGGGCTTCCCCACCTACATAATAGGTGACATTACAGTGGGGGCAGGGCGCCAGGAGATTGTGGTTGAAACGTGGGGCCATTTGGGGCTCAGATTTTGACTGGAATGACCCCAGGAACACCCAGCTTCCCGCTGTTCCATCTCAGTGCCTTATGGAAGAGGAGGGCACTCTTTCTCTCTCTCTCTAGGTCTGAGGGTGCATCAGCTCAGGGGGAAAATGGAGCCACAGAGAAATGCCAGAATGGTGTTTCATAATCTGTTGAAAATTAAACAAATCCCTCACTCTTTTGACTGCTCTCACACTTTGATATCCATGAGTAAGAGTTCCTTCAAAGGCATGAAATATATTACCCAATGTCAATAACAAATTGTGTATGAAGAAAAATGTAATGCTTTGAGAATATTTTCTTTTGGGCTTTGTCCATGATTAGATTACACTAAATTACAGCATACAGATATCAGGCAATTACTCTTTGCTTTTAACTATTCAATTTCATGGTAAATCCACATAGCTCAGTAATGCTAAAATCACACATGCGGTTACCAAGAAAATACCTCATCATCTCCATTTTGTGAAGCTAGGTTCAAGTTGCACTGTAATGACCTCTGGTCCTGTTAAGTGTAAAGTACATTCCAGATGAACACGGGGTAATCCGTCCTCTCTGTAATTGCCAGATATCTGGAGAGATTCTTGCAGATGTTGCTGGATAAGCTTGGGTGAGGTGTGAAGAGGAATGGTGTCTTTGCTCTCCTGCTTACTCCGGCTACCCTCCCTATCTCTGATCCTGGTTGGTCTCTGGTCCCACTCATTCTATTGCTTTAACCAGGAGCATGTCTCTTTTTCTTCTGTTTTGTGAAAGCATGGTCATTTTCTCTTCACTCAGCTCACAGAATCCTCCCCAACCTCCTCCCAATTTTAATTTCTTCCAAAGCTGTGGATGTCCCATAAGCAATCGAGTCGGCTATCCTGGAAACTGGAGGAGCTTGTTAGTGAAAAAAGAATTATTTGAGCTGATTGTGAGAAATCGAACAGTGGCAGGAGGAGGAAAACCAGAGAAGAAAGGAGCCGACACATCTAAACAAGCGGCCAGGGCACTGTGCATACAGATGTTGGTGGTAGCTGGGTCTCTGTTGCAGCTCATTACCGAGAAGCACATCAGAGGGCGCGGGGTGAGGGTTGGGGCTGTTGGGCAGCAGCGCTGAGCTTTGAACGGGGCTTTTCTGCAGAATGCACCCTCTCCCTTCCCCAGTGCTGTGGTTGCTGAACCAATTCCCACCTAAACAGTGCAGACTGCCTGGGCAGTCTCCTGGGGACCCCATGTCCCTCTGTGGTGGATGTCTATTTCAACTAGAGGCTCTTCAACACCCAGAATCTCAGGGAAAATGCCCCAGCCAGTGCTGGGGCCCCGCCCCAGAAATGGGCACCCCCTGCTGGTGGTGGGGGAAGGCAGTCTCGCTACAGGGTCAGATTCCAGCAGAGGATGAGGGAAGGACACAAAATGCATTTTCCACGGGGAAGGGGACCACCGTGAGCATCTTGTTTCTCTGCTTCTTGGAGTGTGTTACAGAAAATGGGGTGAACTGGCTTGGTGGAGCTCGGAAGGGCAGGGAGGAGTCTTGGATCCAGATCTTCCCAGCAGCAGGCTTTATAGATTTCTGTGTCTCCCCCCGCCGCCCCCCGCATGCCCTTCTGCCGCAGCCCTCTCTCTCTATTACCGGGCGTCTTGGCAGCATTTCCCAGGAACCTGCAGCTGCTCAGGGGTTGATCGGTATATGTGCTGGAAATGCATGTGAATGTGCAGTGTGGCAGGGTTGGGAGCCCATGGAAGGTTTGAGTGTTTCTCGGGAGAATTCAGAGTACCTCCAACAAGGGTCTCTTGTTCAGCGTTGGAGTTCTTGTTCTGGTAACTACTTTCTGTGGCTAAGCCTGGGTGGAAATGCAGAATGGACACTGTCTAATTGCTGGTAACCTATGGATGGAGGGAGCTGCAGTTCCGATGTGGCCCCAGTTTATAAATAAATGAACATTCATTAATGTAAAATTAAATTAGAATGAAATTTCCCATCCAGTTTTGTTTAGAAGGCAAAAATAAGTGGGTTGGCTGTGTAATTCTGCTGCGGATGCTGGAGCTGATAGTCACAAGGTGATAATAGTAATTTGCTCTTTGCTTGTGCCTCCATCCCAGATCTCAAGGCAGATATTACCACCTTGGTTTTGCACAGGCTCATTGAGGTTAAAGGGCTGGTTGGAAGTTACTTGGCAAGGGGTTGAGTGCGGAGGCCCTAAAATTCTCTGGCCCATTAGACCTCGAGCGTGTCAGTAAACTAAAAATGGACCGAGACCTGGGAGACCTGAATTCCAGTCCTCAGTCTGTCACTGGCTCAGTGTGTGGGCAAAAAAATGATCAGTTTCCTCACCTATAATGGAAGGGCCAGTGAGTGGTACTCTTTCAGTTGTTTGGATCTGAGTTAATATTTGAACTCACAAAAGGCACACAATGTTAATGTAAGCATTATTTATGGCCAACTTTCTCTGAGCTTTACTTTTCCTGCCTTTTTCTTGTGACCTTAGTTTGCCCTTTGGGAATTAAAATATTAAATAAGAGTCATTTCTGTATATTTCATGCTTTATTTGCTGGAGGGGGATTTGCTTTGGAAAGGGTGTTATTCTTCCAAGCCCAGCTGGCAGGCTGTGCAAATTCCCAGGGCCTCACTTGGGCGGGAGAGTCCTCCCAAATCTGTCCACCTTCTCCCCAGCATGGCCGTCACTTGGCTGCTGCAGAAAAGCAGAGGTTTGCACTCAGTACCATCAGCAGGTCTGCTTATGAAACTGCCCTCTAAAACCTGCCTGCAGGTCAGAGGGAGGAGGGGGCACCAGGGCAGGCTGGGCAGGAAGGTGGGATGTTTTGCAAGGAGCCTGGAAGCTGCCTATAGCCTGGGGCAAGTCATTTAACCTCCCAGTTTCTCCATCACTAACAGCACTTCCTCGAGTCTCTTCTCTCCTCCTGGGGACTATGAGAAGTAATTAGTGGCTGTTTGTCAGAGGAGATGTATGTAGCTTTGCTCACGTAACTCAGGCAGACCTTGAACTGGGCAAGGCCAAATGGGGCTCAGGACTTTAATTTACAGAATGAATGGGGACGGGAAAGTGCACCAAGGTTTCCTTCGGAGAAACCGCCCCGTGCTGATGTTGTGGGAGGGAATTAAAATATCTGGAGCAGGAGAGTGGGGTGGGTTGCTGGGAACCCAGCCTGAGCCCCGCCTCCCTGGAGAACTGGGGCTCTGCAGCCACCAGCAGGTATCACAGCATAGCCCAGGGAGAGGACAGCTCCACATTCTCAAGTGCAAAGCCGCCAAACAAATTGCCACCCTGAAACCCTGCCTCTGGAGTATTAACGCCAGGGTGGGCGGAGGCTGGCCAAGCTGCAGAGATGCCCGCCCTCCCCGTACCGTGCTGGGGAAGCATCTCACTCAGCAGCCCTTCCAGGGCGGCCCGGTACTTTTCCAGCTGTCTGGAGTTCATCCTCATTCCAATTTCCAGAGGAGCAATCAGCTGTGAAATAAGGCAGCGTTAATAACAAGGGAGAGGTGTGGAGAGGGCCCTTAACCCCTGGGTGCACTACAGGTGGCAGGAGGGACCCACGGGAGCCACACCACCCTGCAGACCCCACTAGAGCCTCTAGGGATGGCTGGGAATTCTGCCACCTTCCCCTAATTCTAACCAGAGGGCTGGATCCTGAAGGTCGCTGAGTCCTGCTGAGAGGATCAGCACACCTTCCCTAATGGGGATGCTGGGACGTGGGGCCGGGGGAGGGGGGGGGGGACGGGTATCAGCAGGAACCCCAGCAGGCTTTTCTCATGAGGAGAGAATTCACTGCCCCCTCAACAATAATAGCCAACATTGTGGAGCCTTACCCTTATTCTACGCTTTACACTTATTCTAAGTGCTTTATGTATATTAACCTCTCAATAGCTCTGTGGGGTAGGGACGGTTACTGTTCCCATTTTGCAGATGAGGAAACTGAGGACAATGAGATTGAGTAACTTGCTCAAGGCCACACAGGTGGTAAGGAGCAGAGGATGAAGATGTTACATCCAAGGGGCCTGGCTCCAGGGTCTGTGCCCACGACCACCAGGCTACCTTTCCTCTTGTCTGGAGGCTCTCCACCAAAGGGGTAGTTGCAGCCTCGAGGCAGAGCCTAGGGCACTGATTGATCTCCCTGTCGCCCCCCCGCCAGAGCTTCCTGGATCAATGCTCTTGCTGCACAAACTAGCCAGCACACTGGAAGACTCCTGGCCTCTGCCTCCCACCGGGCTCCCTGGGTTCCAGGAATGAGCCTCCTAGACCCTTGGGGGCTCAGGGTGCCTGAAGGGTGTCTGAAGTGCCCCAGTTCAGTCCTGCCTGTGCCATTCCCGGCTGTGGTTATGCCTCTCCCTCTAGACCCTCTAGTTCTAGGTCCTTACTTGAACACGAGGAGGCTGGATTGGGCATTCCCAAAGGGCCCTCCCAGCTCTGTATGTCGTGGTTCTAGGAGATGGAAAGAGGTGAGAGGGGCCCCACCCAAGGCTTCCCAAGAAGGCTTCATGGACATACCATGTCCCCGGGCAACCTTGGAGTTAGTGCCTCAAACTCCGACTCAGGTGCATTTAGGAGGTGGTTCTGAGTGTGTTCCTGCTCGCCAGCTGCTGGATTCCCTCCCAGCTCCCTCCTCAGGAGCCCAAGGAGTTCGGAGTGGATGTGGGGGGAAAGGAGCCCCACCTTGCTGAGTGCTGAGTGCGGCGACAGCACCCAGGTTGTTCTCTGGGCCTGACAGCACCGGGAAGGATCACTGGCCTGTGTCCAGTGGGAGGTGGGAGTCCAGCTGGGTTCTGCCCTGACTCCTATGTGACCGTGACAAGGAGACTCCTGCTCTCTCTGGATGTCAGTCTTCTCGCCCCTTGGGCCCCTTTGTGTGGAAGTGACCCACACTCAGGCCTGGGCCTCTGCTTCTCCATCCATACCTGTCTCCTCAAATGGCTCACCCGCGCCTAGCTTGAAATTCCTTCTAACCACGGATGACTCCTACACGTGTGTCTCCAGCCCTCACGTCTCTCCTGAACTCCAAACTTGTATGTCCACGTGCCCGGGCAATGTCTCTGCCTGGATACCCAAGAGCATCTCATGGTTTTCAGGCCCAGTCTGACTTCCTGATCTTCCTCCTGCCATCCTGCAGCCAACCACAGACTACTCTGTCTCTGTGAGTGGCAAATCCCTCTTTAGTTGTTTTGGCCCAAACCCTTGAAGTCAATTTTCACTTTTTCTTAACATCCTATATCCATTCTTTCAGCAAATCCTGTGGGCTTCTACCTCCAAAATATTTAAAACATCAAACCTCCTTGCCCTGCCTCCACCAAGACCGCCTGAGGCCGAAGTCTCCCTCTCTCTTTTTCTCTGTGTCTCATACTACAGCAGCCTCCTCAGCGGCCTCCCTAACTCTGCCTTTGTCCGGTCCCTGCAGTCTGTTCTCAGCAGCTGGAGAGACCCCTTTAAAATGTAAATCAGATCCCTCCCTCCTCTGCTCAGAACCCCCGAGGGCTCCACTTCAGCAGAGTGAATGGAGAGTCCAGTGGCCCGTGAACTCCACAGCTGCCCCTGCCCCTCCGCCAGTCTCTCTGGCCTCCTCCCTCTTCCTGAATGCACCGGGCCCTCTCCTGCCTCAGGAACTTTGCACTGGCTGTCCCTCCCGCCTGGAAGCCTCTTCCCCCAGAAATCCTTGTGGTTCATGCCTTGCTCTCTTCTGGTCTGTGTGCCCCTACCGTCTCCTAGGACGCCTGCTGTTGCCCACTGAGATCCATAACCCACCACGGCTCCTTGTGGCTCTGTTTCCCTCCATCGCACATGTCATTGCCTGCCACACTGTTGAGTTTGCTTCCTGTCTTTACCTTGTTTGTGGTCTGTTTCAGTCGTCCTAGGATCTTGTTTCTTCTTGCCTATGGAGTGTGAGTTCCACAGGGGCGGAGATTTTGTCTGTTCACCACCCCGTCCCCAGTGCCGGGAACAGTGCCTCAGACCTAGTAGGGGCTCATTTATTGATCACCCAAATAAACGAGTCTGTGAAATAAAAGAGCTCACGGGACAAGCTCAAGGTTCTCCCCAGCCCCAACAGTCGGCCTTGGGTGTTGAGGCCTGTGGCTGGCTCCTGGGTTTCTGTCTGGGAGGGGAGGAACTGGCACCCTCGCCACCTCTCTCCAGAGGACTGCAGCACCTGCTGCCTGGCCTCCTGCCTCCACTCCTGCTGCCCCAGCTCTGAGAGGGCTCCGGCGACTTCCCTGCTTTGAATCCCCAGTGGCGCTGCATGCAGGCCCTGCCTGGGCTGGCCATGCTGCCCTCTCGCCCACTTGACTCGTGCCTGCCACAAGGGCCTGGCGCCCACCAGTGCTTCTCAGTCTTTGTGCTCACTGTTCCTTCTCCCAGGAAGTCCTTGCTCCAGCTCTTTGCACAGGTGGCTCCTTCCCTTCATTCAGGTTTCAAGTCAAATGTCACCTCCTCCAAGAGGCCTTCCCTGACCCATCTCAGGGACAAAGCAGTCCCCCAAACCCCACTCAGTCACTCTCCTACTTCCTTATCTGGTGCCTGAAATGGTTGGTTTATCTCATTGTTGGAGTCCGTCTCTCCCTACAAGGATGGAGCTCACTGCTGTATCCTAGGACACTCTGAGGCTCGCTGTGGTTCGTGGGCCCTGCCTCCAGGCCAGGCAGGGGAATGCATGCCCTGCTCTGAGTTTCTCTCCCTTGTCCCGGTTGTCTGCTCACCTTGATCATTTCGTTTCCTTCTTCCTCGATGGGCTCCACAGGGTCTACAGGACCTTCCTCCCCAGACCTCTGCCATACACTCAGGGATTTCTTTTGCCCTTTACTCCGTTCCTTTTCCTAAGGGCAGAGAAGAAAATTGCACAGAACTGCCCTCCCTCAACCCACCCTGATGGCCCCTCACCTGTCTCCATCTGCCCAGGACGCTACCTGCCCCCAGCTCCCTACAGACTGAAAGAACCCTCCCCGCAGGAGCCTTCTGCACGAGGAGTCTCAGGTACTAACTAGTGGCTCATGGATGGCCCTTGAGGTTGCCTACCAATAATAGGTCAACTTGAAGAGGAATCCATTCCTTTGTAGTTAAAACATTGCACCCAGATTGTTACTGTTAATTAACTTAAAAAGCTGAAAATAATGGCTGCCCTTCATGCATATTAAGTATGAAAATGTGTCTTTTTTAGCAGAGAGCCTATTAAAAAAGTAGCAAGTCAGCCTAGCCTGGGAGGGCGCCATGGGGTGGCCCAGGAACTCAGAGTCCCTGGGAGGTGATTTATAAGAGGCAAGACAGGAGATAAATTATGGAGGAGGGAGTTTGTAGCTTCGTCATAAAAATCCCGGTGCCTGGCAATTATGAGGAGAAAAGCCATGCAGCAGATTAATGCAGTGTCCTTTTCTTGCCATTTTGCTAGTTTATGTTCCACTGGGTTTGGCTATTCCTGTCCAGCCACCAGTCTTGCCCGGCATGCTGCCGGCCAGGTCCCCGAGCGCTGAGATTCTCATTCCTTTGCTTTCTGTAGTGACACTCTCGGGACTCCGCTGTTGGCCTGCCCTGAGACATGGTGATTCTAGAACAAACGGTCATCCTGTGGGGAGCGTACCAGCGTGGAAGACAGTGTGTTGGGGCCTGCTGTAGTACCTACCCAGTTCCCATGTCTGCTTGAAGAAGGGGATCTGGATTCGGCCTTGCCCCTCAAAAGAGCGCTGTTCACTGGGAATGTGGGTTCCCACACACCTCCCCGCATAGAGTGGGCAGTTGCAGACAGGCTGTGCCCCAGAGCCTCAAGACCTCCCTGGGCACTAACTCATGTATTCATCCCTATTGGAGTCTCAGTGTCAGACAGGGTGGAGCATGAAAGTCCCTTTCTTCATCTCCTGGGATTAAAGAAACCAAACATCTGCATAGACACTCAGCATCCCTGAAGTCTAAAGTAAAAGGCAGCTGGGAGGCAGAGCCAGCAGTTCCATTTTCCTTAGGTTCCACTGCCTGAGTTCCACGAGGCCTGCCTGCTTCTCTTCTGGGCCCTAAAGAGGAGGTTTTGGCCACTGCTACATGGACCACAGCCTTGTTTCCCGCCTCTGGGTGCTGGCTCCCATTGGTCCCTTGCTCCTGATCTCTCAAGGCCCCCAGCTGAGTTCCACCTTTTCCCTGCAGGCTTCCAAGCACGCTCCAGCCCTTGGTGATTCTCCCTCCTCTGAACCTGAGCACCACTGATGGGGCAATTCATCATGCCCTGCCTGTGACATCTCTCTTTTGTCTGCGACTGTTAGTTGATTTTTCATATGTTCGTGTCTTGGCACCCCAGCCTGCTCCCCGGAGATGGGGAGGTGCTGAGATTCTTTTGCATGCTCGGGCCCATCGCCCAGGGTGGCCTCTTATACTGCAGAGCAGCTCAGTAAATATTTATTGGCTTGTTAATTAAAAATTTCCTCCAAAGGATAGGCAGGGGTGGGAAAGATGTTGCTCATATGAGCCACTGACATGTCTGAGTGATGCCAGTGAAGGCGCAAAGGTGGCCAGAGAGGCGGCTGGGACTGGGGGTTATCTTGGGTCCTGGTCCTTCACACTTTCCTTGGTATTGCTAGTGTAGGTCATAGTGACCTCAGCCTTGCTAGCAAGGCAGGCAGCAGGAGGTTCTTACCTGCATCCTCTGGAGTTCGCCGTAGGTGAAGATGGGGACGAAGGCTTCCGTCTGGGAGGCCAGCATGGCAGCTGCATGCACCACCAGCAGAGCAGCCACAGCCTTACGGGATACCATCTTGGAGCTGGACAATGACAAGGAGCTCTTGTCACCAAGTTTGGGGTATAGTGGCAGACTGCTGTGTCCGAGGCAGGGGCCCTCAGTTCTGGCCCATGCCCCAGCTCTTGCTGTGTGATCTTCAGCCAGAGCTCAGCCTCTCTGGATTTGGGCCTGGCATCAGAGCTTTAGCAGATGAGCTCTGAGCACCTTTCTGCCCCAGAGCTGTGGCAGCTGACCAAGCTCCTGGGAAAGGCCGTCGAGCCCCCTACCACACACCAGGGAGGAATCATTTCACTTGTCTGTTCTTCTCTTTTGGTACAGGCGAGGTCTTCTGGGGTCAGCTGGGCTCATAAGGCAGGAGGACCTCATCTTTCAGAGAAGGAATGCCTAGATTATCAACAGACTGTGCCCCAAGACCCAGGGAAACCTCCCTGCCCCAGTGCCTATGAGAATGACAAAAGGGGTGGACCCAAGCCCAGATGACCAGGGCTCTGCCTGGAAGTGCCAGGCCAGGACCCTGGGTCTGTAGAACCTCTACCATTGCAAAGGATGAGCCAGATGGAAAAATTCAGCATGGAGCTGTATCCCTGAGCCAAGAGGGCACCCCCTTCCCTGTTGGGGGAGTGGTGTCTTGGGAACAAGCCCCGTGCCCCATGCTCCAGTGCGTCTAGCTGCCTTTGGCCACCATCCTGAAACAGCAGGGAGCGGGCTTCCTCTTTCCTCACACCCTGGAACCCGGTGATTGCTGACCAGGAAGCAGGTGTGTGTAGAACAGCTGGCAGGACATTGGGCTGTGGTGGGCTTTTGGAGCTCCGGTCCTGGCGGGGAGCAGTTCGGCATGGTGACTGCAGGGGTACAGAGCCTTAAGAAAGCGTCCACTGGGCAGACTTTGGGCAGGGACAGGGTGGTCCTGGGGTGGGGGTGGGACGGCCTAGCTGAATGCCAGCCATGGTTGACTCATTCAAAGGCAGCAGGGGCTGGAACCTTGGCCTTTTGAGGCCCAGTGCTTTTCCCAATACCCCGTTTCATGTTGCCTCTGCCCATAGCAGGTGGAGGAAGGCACAGGGGGCAGGCCTGTTGAATGCATCTTGGGCACCACTGTTCCTGTGCTGGGTGGACTGCTGAGTGCAGGGGCCAGGCCTCCAAGCAGGGAGGGGAGGCCAGGACAGCAGTAGCTCGGAGGGGAGGCCAAGACAGCAGTAGGGGTAGGGGTGGAGGTAGTTACGAGGTTTCAGATAAAGGCTCCTCCAGTCCTTAGGCAGCCTGGATTCTGTCAGCAGGAGAGGGTCTGCCCTGGAAAGGCCTCGGGGCTCCTCTGCAGGTCTCAACCTGGCTCCCCCTTTGAACAGAACCTTCCAAGGCTGCAGGCTTGCATCCTGCCTCTCAGCCAAGGCCTGTCTCCTCAGTCATCTGAAGCCACCCTGCCAAGCCAGACGCTCCCTCTGCCTTCTTACTATTCCAGCTCTCTTCTTCCCACTTCCTATTTTCTCTCCATTTTGTTCAAACTCCATGAACAAGAACAAGCGAGCTCAGACAGCGAAAGCCTCCCCATCCCAGCTGTATGCAAATTCCCAGCAGGCTGAAAGGACCACCTGCCCACTCAAGACCACCTCCCAGGAAGCCGAGGCCCTGTGCGGAGCCCCAGAGGAGCCTGAGCTGAACGGAGACTGGGTTGAGGTGGGTGGGACCCATCTCATTCCTGTGCTTTCCCTGAAGAGTCTCTGGGGCCTGCTTTTCCCCCAAGCAGAGATGGATGTGTCACATTTATGGCGTCCCATTTCCTTCTCAGAGAAGCTATAGATCCTGTTTCATTCTGGTGTATTTAATTCACTCCATAGGAATCAATAAAAACTTTAAATAAAAAAAGGCAAAATCCAATTGCTGCTCATTTTCTTGATCCAACTGGCAGTCGGCATGTCACCTAAGTTCATGTGTTCTGGCGAGCTGGAAGTGGGAGAGGGAGCTTTTCATTGTACAGTGAGGCACTAACTTTCCTTTCCCATCATCAGAGATGGGGGACTTCAGCCTTCAATTGCCCAGCTCTGCATGACGGGGGTGACCGTCTGCCCTCCCCTGCGGCACTCCTGGCTGGGCTAGCCTTGCCTCCCCATGTGCTGTCCCCTGGGGTCAACTTTTTCTTTTATTTTCTTTCTTCTTTTCGTTTTCCTTCCTTGTCCTTCCTTCCTTCCTTCCTCCCTTCCCTTCCTTTTTGCCTTCCTTCCTTCCTTCCTTCCTTCCTTTCCTTCCTTCCTTCTTCCTTTCCTTCCTTCCTTTTTCTGTTTTTTTTTGTTTTTGAAGAGGAGTCTCACTGTGTCTCCCAGTGTCTGGAGTGTCTGTGTGTGCTCTATATCTCTTCACTGTGTCTATTCTCTTCACGCCGTCCCGAGGTTCCAGGAAGGAGTTCTTCTGCTCATCCCTTCTGAGTGCAAGCCGAGACTAACAGGCGCCCCCACCGACGCCTCCGGTTCGAGCTAATAGTTCCTGTTGTATTTTTAGATAGAGACCAGGAGTGTCAACCATATTGGCGCTGGCTGGTGCTCAACACTCGCTGACCTTTCGTGGACCTGCCCACCTGCGGCCCTCCCAAAGTGCCTGGGAATATACGGCATGAGTCACCGCAGGGCCACGCTTGTTCTTTACCCTTTCCAGAGGGCAAAGCGCACCATGCCAAGAGGCGAGCAGACTCGAGGACTTATAGGAGAATTGCAGTTGGCAGTTGATCATGAGGGGGCTTGACGAGGGGAAGGACAGACGGGAAACAAAAAAGACACTCTAGCTTCCATTCTCCTCCCGGCTCGGCGGAAATTGGATGTCTCCCCCACCCATCCTTCCTGCTCGCCCGTCCCACCCTCAGCCTGCCTAGAGTAGAAACATGAGACCGACAGTTGGCAATGACACAATATCTAGGAAACAATGGTGTTTTTAATTTTTTTGTATGAGATGGAGGTCTTGGGCTATTGTTCCTCGGCCTCCGCGAAGTTGGGTCTGAATGGGTCCTGGGCTCCAAAGGCAATTCCTCTTGCCGTCAGCGTCCAAGAAGGCTGGGATTACAACGGTGTGAACACCTTGCCCAGCGTAGCGAGGCTGCGGTCGGGTTGCGCGGTAAAAGCGCCCGGGTCTTGGCAGGGAAACAGGGGGTGCCGAAGGGTAAGGGATCTCTCAGATGAGCGCCCAAGGGTTAGTAGGGATGGCAATCTGCTGCACAGAAACCCTGGCAATCTGTAGCCGTGCTAATTCGGTGAGATAAGTCTCGGAGACACCTCAGGAGCCAAGACACCCAGCAGCATCTCACACAGCCGCTGGGTCCAGTTTGGCTGGGAGTGTCTAAAAGAGCCGTGGGTGGCAGGTGGATGCTGTAGCACAAGAGAGAGAACACCTGGCAGAGGAAGGCGAGGACACGAGCTGCCATCTGTTTTTCATTAAGCCTTGCTGAGTTGGGAAGGTAGAAGTTTATCTGCAACTTGGGTTTGAAAGCACTGCAA